AACCTGTATGCTGAGCAAATAATCTGAGAAGCTGGGTTCTATGAAGAAAAACGTGGCATCAGGATTGGAGGAAGACTCATTAACAACCTGTGATACACAGATGATACAACCTTGCTTGCTGAAAGTTAAGAGTACTTAAAATACTTACTGATGAAGATCAAAGGGCCTAGCCTTTGGTATGGATTACATCTCAATGTAAAGAAAAAAATCCGCACCACTGGACCAATAAACAACATTCTTATCAAGGGAGAAAAGATTGAAGTTGTCATGGACTTCATTCTTATTGGTTCAAGTATTAACACACACGGAAGCAGCAATCAAGAAATCAAATGATGGAGAGAGGACTTCCGGCGCTTCCCTGACCAGGCTGCTCAGGTAGGGCAGTCTCGGAGAAAAGGGGCGGAATTGCACATAGGAAACCTCTGTCTAGCAGACAGACAGCATTTTAACAAACATAAGATCTTATATTTCAAAATTCTGAACTCGTTTTTTTAAAAGATCAAATTGCTGAGGAATTACAGGCATTTTGAGCTTTTGCCTGCCTGTATGAAGCTCCCGCTTCCACGTCCGCGCTGGTGAGTGCCTCTGCCTCGAGCAGAACTTGGAATGCAGGGCTAGAGCAACCCCACTTAGAAGGCTGCATTGCCAGAGTAAAGGAAGCATAAACTAACAAAGCCGAACAAATAGAGAGGGATATTGGCGCATATATCTGGAAATTCGCGGTATCCACGGTACAGAGAGACTGAGAGAGGCATTTTCTACGTCATCAAATACAGACACTACATGCCTGCAGCTACTACCCCCAGCCCTCTACTGCCCCAGCCTAGATCAGCCCTCTGCCAAGCCGCTGAGGCTCAGGAATTCCCAAGGCACAGACCCATACACTGAGGCCAAGGCCCTCCCAAGGCCCATACACTCCAACTGAGGCCAAGACCTGCCCTGAGGCCCAACCCGCCCACAGACTGGTCACAAAGGCCCAGGCCTAACCAAGACCCAAATCACCTACCCACCTCGCGGCCCAGGCAGTCCACAGCCCGGTCTCCGCTGAGATCCAGGGCCCCCAAGGCCCAACCTGCCACGTAGCCAGGTCACTGAGACCCAGGGCCCCTGAGGCCCAGCCCTCCATGTAGCCCAGTCGTGAAGGTCCAGTGCTCTTGACACCCAACTTGCCCTCAGCCAGGTCCCCGAGGCACAGGTCCCCCGAGGCCCAATCTGCCCAACCCGCCCGCTGAGGCCCAAGACGCCCAATGCCCAGCTGCTAATACCCAGGCTCCATGAGGCACAAACCATCCGCCCAAGGCCCAAACAACCAGCCCGAGGCCCAAACCACCTGCCTGAGGCCCAACCCTCCTGTAGCCAGGTTGCTGATGCCCAGGCACCCAGAGGCCCAAACTGCCCGTCCTAGGCTCAACTTACCCGCCCGAGGCCCAAACAGCCTGCCGCCAAAGTTCAGGCCCAACTGAGGCCCAAAAAAGTTACTCTGAGTTAAGCAATAAGGAGAGAGAAAAGGGAAGACCACATCCTGATTAAATCTTCCTGGAGGTAATAAGAAAACATAAAAAATTAGCAAAACACAATTAATTATTAGGGCCACAGATAAACATTAAACATGTCCAAGAAGCAAAAGCAGATGACCATATCGGCACATGTCCAGAAAAAAGATAAAATATCTAAGACAAATGAACCAGAAGTAGACCTTCTCTCCATGCTGGAAGGAGGGCAGGCCTTGGAGATACCTGAGAAAGTCTAGGAAGGGTGGACCCCAAAAGAAAATCACCAAGACATATCATAGTCAAGCTCTCCAAACTCAAAGACAAGGAAACACTCCTTAAAGCAGCAAGAGAAAACAGACGGGTCACATAC